TAAGAGTGGTGTCTATTTGTTCGTGAAGATACAAGGAGTTCAACTGCTACAAATACTGCTATTACAAACGATAATTTTAAATTTTAGGAGCGGAAAACAGTGTGAATCTGTGAAAACAACAACAGTCGGACCACGTGCCCGGTGCCGCGCAGTTCCCCACCAGAAAAAAAAAATCGCGTGTTGATGGAACTACATGAAGAGGCCTGAGGTGCGGCCTCACCGGAGAAGGATTGGCCACCCTGGTGCAGTATCTGGCCACTACCTCCCACATGGATACGCCAAATAACTCACGGCCCTCAGTCCTCAGCAGCTGCGAAGTAACTGACTACGGCGGCGGTCAGATCTGCAACGCAGCAGAGGGTGCTAAGAATCTCTGGACTACAGGCCGCCATTGGAACCTGAACTTGGCAACGTTTAACGCTAGAATCTTATCTATTGAGGGAAGTCTAGCTGTACTATTCGAAGAGCTAGAGGGTGTTAAATGGGATATAATAGGGCTCAGTGAGGTTAGGAGGACAGATGAGGCCTATACGGTGCTACATAATGGGCACGTCATTTGCTATCGGGGCTTGGCAGACAGAAGAGAACTGGGAGTGGGGTTCCTAATTCACAGAAACATAGCTGGCAACATAGAGGAATATTATCGCATTAATGAAAGGGTGGTAGGGAATTGTAATTAAACTGAATAAAAAATACAAGATGAAGGTAGTACAGGCGTACGCGCCTACATCCAGCCATGATGACGCTTCAGTTGAAAGCTTCTATAAAGACGTGGAATCGGCAATGAGTAAGGTAAAAACACAGTATACTATAGTGATGGGTGACTTTAATGCAAAGGTAGGGAAGAAGCAGGCTGGAGACCAGGCAGTAGGAGATTATGGCATCGGCACTAGAAACGCCAGAGGAGAGCTACTAGTAGAATTCGCAGAACGCAATTATTTGCGGATTTTGAATACCTTCTACCGAAAACGAGAAAACCGCAAGAAGACATGGAGGAGCCCTAATGGCGAAAATAACAGCGAAATAGACTTTATAATGACCGCACACCCAGGAATCGTGCAGGATGTGGAAGTGGTTGGCAAGGTACGATGCAGTGACCATAGAATGATACGGTCTCGAATTCGCCTAGACATGAAGAAGGAACGACAGAAACTGATACGCAAGAAGCCAATCAATGAGCTAGCACTGAGAGGGAAAGTACAGGAATTCAGTGTCGCTGCAGAACAGGTACTTGGCTCTTAGTTAGGAAACCAAACTTAGCGTAGATACAATGAATGATAATCTGACGACTATCATTACGGAGTGTGCAGTGGAAGTTTGAGGCAAGGTAGTTAGACAGGACACTGGCAAGCTTTCCCAGGAAACGAAGAACCTAATTAAGAAGCGTCAAACCATGAAAGTGTCAAGTACAACAGACGAAATAGAACTGGAAGAGCTTTGGAAGTTGATTAATAGACGTAAAGTATGCGATGTATAACATGGAGAGAAGGTATAACATGGAGAGAATTGAACACGCTCTGAAAAACGGAGGAAGTTTCAAAGCAGTGAAGAGGAAACTTGGGATAGGCAAAAGTAGGATGTATGTACTAAGGGACAAAGAAGGCAAAATAACTACCAATATGGATAGGATAGTTAAAATAGCGGAGGAGTTTTACAGAGATCTGTACAGTAGCCGAGACAACCACAACCTTAATACTATAAGAACTAGCAGTAACCCAGACGACACCCCACCAGTAATATTAGAAGAAGTCAGAAAAGCTTTGGAGAGCATGCAAAGAGGCAAAGCTGCTGGTGAGGATCAGGTAACATCAGATCTGCTGAAAGATGGAGGACAGATTGTGTTAGAAAAACTAGCCACCCTGTTTACGAGGTGTCTCCTGACGGGAAGGGTACCAGAGTCTTGGAAGAACGCTAACATCATCTTAATACATAAGAAAGGAGATGACAAGGACTTGAAGAATTACAGGCCGATCAGCTTGCTCTCTGTAGTGTACAAGCTTTTTACAAAGGTAATTGCTAACAGAGTAAAGAGAACATTAGAATTCAATCAACCAAAGGAACAAGCAGGATTTCAAACAGGCTACTCAACAATTGACCACATTCATACTATCAATCAGGTAATAGAGAAATGCTCAGAGTATAACCAACCACTATACATAGCCTTCATAGATTACGAGAAGGCGTTTGATTCAGTAGAAATATCAGCCGTCATGCAGACACTGCGGAATCAGGGCGTAGATGAAGTATATATAAACATTATGGAAGAAATCTACAGGGGATCAACTGCTACCATAGTGCTTCATAAAAAAAGCAACAGAATACCAATCAAGAAGGGTGTAAGGCAGGGGGACACAATCTCCCCAATGCTATTTACCGCGTGCTTACAGGAGGTTTTCAGAAGCCTAGAATGGGAACAGTTAGGGATAAGAGTTAATGGAGAATACCTTAGTAACTTGCGCTTCGCCGATTACATTGCATTGCTGAGTAACTCAGGGGACGAATTGCAACTCATGATTACAGAGTTACACAGGGAGAGCAGAAAGGTGGGTCTTAAAATTAATCTGCAGAAAACGAAAGTGATGTACAACAATCTCGGAAAGGAACAGCGCTTCGAGATAGGTAATAGTGCACTTGAAGTTGTAAAAGAATATGTCTACTTAGGGCAGGCAATAACCACAGAGCCTAACCACGGGATTCAAGTAACTAGAAGAATAAGAATGGGGTGGAGCACATTCGGCAAGCACTCTCAAATTATGACAGGTAGATTGCCATTATCCCTTAAGAGGAAGGTATACAACAGCTGTATCTTGCGGGTACTTAGCTACGAAGCAGAAACCTGGAGACTCACAAAGAGGGTTCAGCTTAAATTGAGGACGACGCAGCGAGCAATGGAAAGAAAAATGGTAGGTGTAAGCCTCAGAGACAAGAAGAGAGCGGAGTGGATTAGGGGACAAACGGGGGTTAAGGATATCATAGTTGAAATAAAGAAGAGGAAATGGACATGGGCCTGGCATGTAGCGCGTAGACAGGATAACCGCTGGTCATTAAGAGTAATTAACTGGATTCCCAGAGAAGGAAAGCGGGTTAGGGGGAGACAGAAGGTTAGGTGGGCAGATGAAATTAAGAAGTTTGCGGGTATAAATTGGCAGCAGCAAGCACAGGACCGGGTTAACTGGCGGAACATGGGAGAGGCCTTTGTCCTGCAGTGGACGTAACCAGGCTGATGATGATGAAGATGAATAAACATTGAATTAGTAATCTCATTATTCAGCAAGCTATGATCAATTATTTATTGACGTAGGAGGAATTAGTAATAGAAGTTTACTATGTACTCACACCATCGCATCGTAAAGGGACTTTGTCTTCATTGTACTGACATATGTCTTCTAACGTGATTGCTTACGTGACTCGATCTAGAGGAAAATTTCCTTTTTAGATGCGGAGCATCTTATACTCGCGCCTTGTAGTGCGCCGTCCGCGCCGTCCGCACCGCTTCTTGAACATTCGACAGCTGACGCGCGCGCATGCGCCGTCGCGCCGTCGCCCACTCTTCCACCATCTGTGCATCCCTTCCTCCTCTACACACCGCGCGCGCTTCACTCCTCCACCATCTGTGCACCCTTCCTCCTCTACACACCGCGTTCGACATCTACAATTCTCCTGATTCTCCAGTGGACGCGCATGTGGCGTCGCGCTTCGAGAACTTTCAACAGCTGACAGTGCATGCGCCGTCGTGCTGTATATATACTCAAGGTCGGCGCTCGCTCGCTCAGTTGCCGCTCGTCGGTTGGTTTGTACGGCGCGTCGACGTCCAAGGTCGCGGTGAAATGAATTCCAACGAATCCACAAACACAATGATCGACGTCCCTTCGACCAGCGCCGCCCTTTCGCATACGTGTGTACGTGTTCACTCATTTAACACCCCCTCCTACAACCACGTTAACCAATTTAGCCATCGACCCAAGTAAGTCGCAATTTAACACCCCATTTCACAACCACGTTAACCAATTTAGCCATCGACCCAAGTAAGTCGCACTTTAACACCCCGTTAACCAATTATATGGTCCGCATCCTCCTCAGTGTTCCCCCGAGGGAAGCTGCGGGCAATTTTTTTTTAAACGCCAGTGTAAGCGAAATTTCTGGTAAGCCCACAATTGGCACACAAATACAACGCATGCAAAAATGCGTCGATTAACCTTGTGAAGTTTGATTCAAGGTAAAATATGAAGGGTAGATAATTACCCGCCGATGATGACGCATGAAACCAACTCCCAGTAGGCGTGCAATTTACCATTTTTGAAACGATGGCTTTTAATTGCCAGAGTGAATTGAAGGCTTTGTACTTTGACTCGAAATCACAAAGTGAAAAGGGTCATTGTCAGGCAGTTCATTCGGATGTTTTGTTATTGCGCTGGTTGAGCTTGTAAGTAACAACTTTTTTGCAAATATGAGAATGTGATCAATACTGATTGTTGGCCTAATTACAGGTGTACCCTAATCTGATCTTCATGTGTTAAATATATATTCATTTCGTTCATTCAGGTATTACCCGCATCCGGGCATTGAAGTACCAACGCCAGGATAGCACAAAGAACTCTCGTGGCGTCAGCCCATTAGCGTTGATTTCAGGAATGACTACATTTCCTCCTTAAAATAATTTTAATTGTTCAGGTTTAACGTACCAAAACACTATCGAAATATGACAGACGCCATATTGGAGATTTCCGGGATTTTCGACCAGCCGGGGTTCTTTAACGTGCACCTAAATCTAAGCAAACTGGCCTCATTCATTTTCACCTTCAACGAAAATGCGGACGCCGCGGCCCGAATTCAATACCGCACCCGGCGGGTCAGCAACCGATTGCCTTAGCCACTCGACCACCGTGAAGGGTGATTTTTCTCGTCATAAGAATGCTCCCCATTGAGATATATATCAGTGATACTCATTCGGATTACATTGCACAAATGAGCTTTGCGCAAACTTTGCACGGACACATTACCTGGGGTTGATTTCTTGCAGCTGCTTAGGCACTCTTCCTCAGTGGTGTACTTGTTGTCGTTACCGTCACAGCCGCCGTATATGAATTCCACGCACTGACCCTGCTTGGCATCGTAGCCCCACAAAGGCATGTACGCCAGGCACGGCCCCCTCTCGGGCCTGGCAAGACATTTGCCTTCGTACTCGGTCTCAGCTGCAAAAACACAGTGCACCCAAGCTTAGACACGAACTTCAGTCGGACGGCAAACTGGGACTGGAAAGCTTAGACAATATGTGAAAGTGCAGATAGGTCCACGTTTTGCTTTATATGTGTGCTTAGGGCCTAAATCAATTTTCTTCAACCACAATGTAACGTCGTTGGTAGTATCACCAAACTCGGGTCCAGCTCAACGCGTCCGTTGACTACCATCAAAGGGGGAATGTGCGAAGCTTTTTTTTTTCTTTTGTAAGTAATCTTTATCACTGAGCAGGAATGACAGGCAGGGATATTTGGGGCTTAAAGTATAATTGATGTATATTAAAAGCGTCCAAATGACACTTTTGAAAAGACGAAGAAACACGCAAGCCCTGTGCAAACGTTGACAAAATCCTTTGCCCAGGTTAAGGCACACAACTAAAGCGATATGTTCACAGAGGAATTGTCACCTGAATTCTGGCTTCAAAATTTTCTGCCTACAGTTTTTACTCGTTCCTCTTGCACTGTGACAAAAGTTCACTAGACAAATGAATATGATTTCTTCTTGTGTTTTCATAGAGGCACATTCGTTGTTTCGTAAAAATTCGGCGCACCACGAGTTCTACCTTTTCAAAAATAAAGGTGGTAAGTGCAGAGCAATCTCTGTTTCCTGATCTTCTCCAGCGCTTTTTTTGCGTAAATAGACATGTAACTATGCTTTAGTGTTTGTGTGCGTTGGTATTCGCCAAAAGAGGCCCTTTAAAGTCAAACTTATTGTGACAATAATTATGGGGACGATTACAGCTAGAACTTTGCTTCCAGGTAAAGGAAAACGCCCTCAAGTGGTCGCCGAGTATTGTAACATACCAACAAAAGGCCATGGCCCCGCTGACCTGCTGATACTCGTATTTTGGCTACTCACGTTTGCAGCTGGCCTTGCACTGCTCCGCCGTTTCGTAGTTGTTCGCGTTGCCCTCGCAGCCTCCGTAGGTGAACCTCTGGCACGTTTGTGTGTCGTTGTCGAAGTAATAGCGAGGGATGGACGCACGGCATGGTCCTTGGTCAGGTGCCACGTAACAGGCGAATGGGTTCACTGCGAAAGACAGGCTCAGATCTCAATTGAATCGGGGGCCGATCGCCCCATGAAATTCAAAGCCATTTCCGGGTTCTGCGCGGTGAAAGAGTGACGTTGTATACAAGTGTTGCGTGTGGTTGTGCATTAGCAGGAAAAAATATTTAGGCTGCCAAACTTGCTGGTAGCATATATGGAAATATAGTTGCATGAAATAATACACAAGACGTAATCGAGGAGCGCAGGACTAACCTAAGCCACCAGTGATAGCTCGAGCGTGTGTGGAATAGGGCACATATGCGCATTTACATATCTGAACAAGCTCACGGGGCGGCTCATAATGTCGCCTACACAGAGGGTGCTTTCTTACCATGTGGCTGCGATTCCTCGAGCTTGCGCCCGGCGTTCACGTTCAAGGACTGCTGAAAAAAAAACGAGAATGGACGATTACGAAAATGCCTAACGCCAAATGTGAGCGCATTTGTGTACGTGTTTTTATTTGTCGATATATACAGATGCGAAGCCTTTTTAACATGCGTGCAAGTCAAATGAACACAGAATACTGCTTTTATTTAGCTTTTGTTACTTTTCGAAATGTTGGTTTTTGTTCTGTTGTATACTCATTGGAATTTAGTCATACGCGTATTTTATTGTTTTATTTTCTTTTCACCGATCGGAATGCAGTTAGGTACGAAGCTTTATTTTGTTTTCATTTTTAAAAGTGCTAGCAGATGTATCGTTAGCTTTTGATTTATTCCTATTCTCCATTTCAGCGGCGGTGGCCTAAATGCAATCCAGTCGGCGGCAACAAAAAAAAAAAAACACCATATACACAAAAGGGGACCATGGGGTGACACGGAGCGTCGTAGTTCTGCAGCGCAGCAGTCGGTGTTCTCGATCTAGAAACTCGTTAGCAGACGCTAATCGCCTCAGCATTCCAAGACGCCATGGGGAGGAATGCTTAGAGGAGAGGGGGAGCGAACGTAGGTTATTCGTCGCTCACTACGTTGGCGTTGCTAGGCAGGAGAGAGAGAGAGCGTTAGAGAGGAGACAGAGGGGATGCGCATTCGCAATGGGGGAGCGAGAAGAAGCATGTGGTAGGATAGAAGATTAGAGAGTAACGCGTAGCTGTTGGATATAGGGAAGGAGGCGAGTCGCGCATGCGTAGTGGGAGTGCGGACGCCGGACGCGGGACATACCTGCGAGCAAGAGATGATCCGCGTGGCTCGAGGCGCCCGAGCAAGTAGGCTTCTCGCTGCACTCGTTCCCTCAGTTACAGCTAGGCACAACGTGTAACAGCGCTCAGCGAAGAAACGGGCGGATAAGCTTTTCGCTAATAAAGACGCCTCCGGGTCAGATTTTTGTTACGCGGTCTAACAAAAACGAAAGTTCACAAAAGAAAAAATTCTCCCTAAGACAAACTTTGCCTCTCTAGTACTAATGATGAGACGTGCGGTATAGAGGAAATAACAAGTTATCCGAATGACTGTTGTATAGATGTGAACCGAGAGAGTATACTATAAATGTTCACGATACCATGAACGCAATATCCCAGCAACATGCCTGGCTAGCTAATTAATTGACTTCTTTCGTGTGAGTTTCAGCTGTTTTTTTCCGTCTATGCGAATTCGAGGCCTTAACACTCTACGGTCACTGAAGCAGATCTTGCCAACTTCTTCCACATGCTGTACGATGCTAGGGTGTGCATACAGAATGAACTACTTTTTAATTTCGCGATTAAGACTCTACTTACGGTTACCCATTTTCTAAAGAAGGTATTGAAGATCCCTAAATCATTACATTCTTTGAACTCTACTAGTAACCACTCTGTCCTTATAGACCCAATGTCAGATTACCCCACTTCATGGTCTCCAGCCTGCGTAAAAGTAGCCCATCAGTGCAGTATGCTGTTGCTGATTCTACGTTTTTGTAGAAGCGTTCAGCTAATACGTCATCATGGCTGGATGTAGGTGCATAAGCCAGTACCAACGTTTCCTTGTACCTCTTTTTGAAGTTAATTACGATGCTTTCCTGCCCTTTCGCCGAAGCTGCAATATTTCTCTATGTTACCCGCTGTATTTTTATGCATATGGAACCCAACCCTATAGTTTTCTTCCTGTCGAATAAGCCACGACAGCATAGAATTGTTGGTGCTTCAGTAGTGTATAAGCCTCACTTGTCTTTCTCACTTCACTGAGCCCTATTACATCCCATTTAACACCCTCTGATTTCTCGATTAGCACAGCTGGAGTAGCCTCACTAGGTAGCGTTCTACCAATAAACGTAGCCAAGTTAAGATTTCAGTGAAACCCTGTCCGGACACAGAGATTTTTGGTGCATTTATGCTGGAGGTAGTGGCCAAGTGCTGCACCAGGGTGGCCAATCGTGCTCTTGTGATGATGTGCATTACCGGTGGGGGCCAGCAGTGGGGCTCTACCCGAAGATGTATTTAAATACACTGGTGTCAAAGTTATCCTCTTACGTCACTTAGAACAGGACGTTATGGTACTGTTCACATCGAATGCATTATGGTTGCGTGCAGTAAAGGAGTGCAGCTTGGTTACGTGTAATATGTATCCCCGCGGTAACAGTAATTCTAAATTTGTTACTAAATTCGAAAGCAAACACACAAAACTGTTTGTGCCAGAGGTTATCTATCTATCTATCTATCTATCTATCTATCTATCTATCTATCTATCTATCTATCTATCTATCTATCTATCTATCTATCTATCTATCTATCCGTCTATCCGTCTATCCGTCTATCCGTCTGTCTGTCTATCTATCTATCTATCTATCTATCTATCTATCTATCTATCTATCTATCTATCTATCTATCTATCTATCTATCTATCTATCTATCTATCTATCTATCTATCTATCTATCTATCTATCTATCTATCTATCTATCTATCTATCTATCTATCTATCTATCTATCTATCTGTCTGTCTGTCTGTCTGTCTGTCTGTCTGTCTGTCTGTCTGTCTGTCTGTCTGTCTGTCTGTCTGTCTGTCTGTCTGTCTGTCTGTCTATCTATCTATCTATCTATCTATCTATCTATCTATCTATCTATCTATCTATCTATCTATCTATCTATCTATCTATCTATCTATCTATCTATCTATCTATCTATCTATCTATCTATCTATCTATCTATCTATCTATCTATCTATCTACCAACTGGTCTTGCGAGTCCCTATTCTACGCAGTATCTGCATTTGTTGTACGGGGTCGCGGCGTAGTTATGCTCTAGCATGCTGCTCGATCACGACGTAATTCACTTTAGCCTCTGTGTATAATTACGAAAACGTACATTAAAGATGGTGCGGTTTCGTGTAAGCTATTGTCAAAAAAACCTCCTGTGAATAGTTGGTGACTGGCCCAGCTTAGGGCTAGAATGTGAATATGCGTGCTTAGACCTTGTATACACGGATATTGTGTATTGCTACAATTTATCGCTGTCCCATTCGGTGCTTCTCGCTTGCGTCGAAGCTGTGAATTTGTGTCACGTACATTGTTGCGCGCCGCAGATTTGGGCAGAACTGACATGCAACGAGGATGTCTCAACGCGGCAGCCTAACAGATGCGAAACATAAGAAACTATATTGTTCTCGCTTTGCACTGGAGCCGACTTACTTGACAGTTCGGCGCAGGTCTTCCTGCATTCTTCTTTACTCCTGTACTTGTTTTCATTTCCTTCGCAACCGCCATAAACGAACTGCTCGCACTTTCCCGAATGCACGTTGAACCACCATGCTGGAATGTGCGCCTTGCACTGGTCCTGGGTCGGCCGCTTCCACGCAGTGGGACTCGTAATCACCAGAGGCTGCAACGAGATGCCCTTCAGGTCATCTTCTGTACTACCTTTTCACAAACTCTTTTTGAACTGTCCCGAAAGTAAAGGTTTTCATTCCGGCTGCGGCGTTCAGTGTTCCGATGGAAGCCAAATGTTGGAGCCCCATTTAGTGTACGGTGTCAGTGCTTGTTAAAGAACACTGGATAATCGGAATTTCTGGAGCGTTCTAATACGGCGTTCCTCATAACCACTTCATGGTTTGGCAATGTAGACCCCAGATATTACATAATCCGTGAGCAGTGCATGATCTTTCCTGCCTGACGGGCCCGAAAATATTATGTTTTGGTGCTGTTAAAGGCATTGTTATAGCATTGCGCATGCTGTGAACAGGTGTGGTAAACGTGTTTAGATAACTCCTAGGCAAATAAGCTGGTTCAACCGCCTTTTGGTATGTACGGTCTGACTTCACGTCTATCCGACTGGCGCTGTGTACTTATGAACAGTACGAGATTTTGCGTTTCCGTCAGCTCGCAACGGCCGCTGTGTTCAAGTTATATTTAGCTGTGCGACATGGCAATACGAGCTTCTTTTCAAATATCACGTGACTGTGGCCACGTTATCCACTTTACTACTGTACAGAACTGTCATTTAGATCACGGGCAACGGTAGACCTAGTCACCACTATAGGTTAACTGTCCAGAAACACGGCTCAAGGTTATCCGGAGCCCTCCACAACGGTGTCTCTCATAATCATATAGTGGTTTTGAGACCATAAACACCACATATCAATCAATCAATCAATCAATCAATCAATCAATCAATCAATCAATCAATAGTGGTTTTGAGACCTAAACCCCACATATCAATCAATCAATCAATCAATCAACGGCTCAAGGTTATGAGCATTTAAACTCCCCAAAAAATACCATTGCGTTGTGACGTTCCACTCACGCAAGTGATTGTGTGTGTTGAAAAAACACACGCTTGCGTTTATTGTATTGGCTCTTCGTCAGTTGACTCATTGGGAGCAATTGAGTCAGTAAATGTCATCTATTGAGAAGAAGGGAGGTCGAGTTATGTGCACTTCTCATATGGAATATATTTCCATATGATGATATATTTCCATAAGTATGGAATATATTTCCAAGAGCGAACGTGCATGCGTGGTGGCAAGCGACGGCGTGCCGCCACGAAACACCGATTATACGTAAGAGCAATGCTTTCGTGGTTCAAGGTGACCCATGACATGATATCGTCACGTGAAGACTCTGCGATATTTCCACTCACATTTAAAGCAAAAAAGCGCGCATAATCTTCATTCTGCGGATGCTTGCGGAGAAGTTATACGACCGAGCATGTATAAAAACACGGAAGATTCTCGTAGATACAACAAAAACAAAAAAACAAAAAAGCAAGAACGAAAGGAAAGAAGAAGGCCTTAATAAAGCACTATATTAAAGAGGCGATTAACCACACCGTATAGCTAAAATGTAATAATTACACATATCGAGATGGACTTGTCGCATTACATCAGTGGTTTGAAAGTCACTCTGTTCAATAAAGCATTGTTATTTGCCTGTTATGTATGATATCAAGTCAAAAAGAAATGAACACGAAAGAAGCAAATGATCATTTAGCTATGCCTGCTTCGCGTCTAATTTTTTCAACACGCACCTTACTATATTTGTCCATAAGTTCGACCGTGGGAGGATCAGCCGCGTTCGAACAAAAGATCTTTGCTAGTAATTTTCAAGATGCAGATGGAAGTGTACGTCCTCATTCGTGCGGGCCTTTCTCTCGCTCCAACCAATGTAAAAAGACACCTCATAAGTAATTTTTGCTTATCTTAAAAGACTTCATGCTTGCAGAACTTTTGTTCCTGCCATTGGAATGGAGTTGTTACAAGCGTGTATAAGAAATACGCCTAGACTCTCGTGGAACTCACCGAAGGCAGCGCCGCACAACGCCAGCAGCACGAACGTCTTCATGGTGCTGCCACGGAGGTCTAAAAGTGACAAGCGCGCGTGCCCACGATGTCAGACCTTATATCGCCCGGTAACCCGCTGTCTTCGCGCCGCAGCACTGATAATCTTCTCGGGTTGTGCACGACCGAAAGAAAAGCGCACGTTCTGGCCGATGTATAGCTGCTATCAGGTGGCATGACCACAACAGCACGCACACAAAATAAATGCACACTGTAGGAACGACGTTCGATTGCTTTCAAGGCGAGCCAGTTTGAGATCGTTAGATTTTGGGTGCGCGGCACGCTGAGATGAAGCTCGCTCTCGCAGCCCATTCAAAACTGCGGCGCGGTCGAAGTAGCGTCACAGAAGTTGGTATAAATGTGGGGTTTAATGTCCCAAAACCACCGTATGATTATGAGAGACGCCCTAGTGAAGGGCTCCAGAAATTTAGACCCCCTGGGGTTCTTTAACGTGCACCCAAATCTGAGCACACGGGCCTACAACATTTCCACCTCCATCGGAAACACAGCCGCCGCAGCCAGCGTCACAGGAGTTACCGCGAATATTCTAACTTGCTGAATTCGTTAAGCGATAGGTCTCTAATAGACTGTTATTGCCGTGTTTCGTTGAAGTCTACTTTGGATGATCCCTCCGCTACCCGCTTTTGCAAAGGTCTGAGTGCCTATCAGTTATCGCAAATATGGTTGCAAAAAGGGCCCTCCCCCCCCCCCCCCCCGCGCCTTTTTTTTATTACAAACGCGACCATGTAAACCTATATATGAGACTGAGTGCCTCGTGATTTCAGCGTGCAAGAATGTTGGCGACCAGCTTAGTCGAACGACTCGTAAGTCGGTGAAGTAAGTGAGCCCGAAGAGTCTATATATTTGCTTTTTTTTAGTATGTATATGAAATGGCGCTTCACGTGGTTCTGAACGAATACGAAGTGATATACGTGTTAGGACGGTTCCGATCAATCATTTTGAGCTTGACTGGGTTCATTGGAGAAGTAGCAAGCTTATTACCTAATGCACTGGGCTCTAGATTCGTGCTATGTAACGTCCAGCCTATTAGTTAGCATAGCTTGATGTTGAAAATTCGACCCGTAATCATAAATTCTCGTTGATACGTACTTCACAGATACCACCCCAAATGAACGTCTCGAAAACGTGTTTCCTCAAGTCCGTGCTTTCGTTTCAGAAAACAGGACACTGTAAATGCACCTCGCAAAATACTTCAGTAACGTCGCTACTATGCAACATCACATAAATACTGCGTCAATCCTTCCTCACGCAGGTACTAAACTATTCTTGATTAGTCTGTGTCTCGCTCCAGTTTTTACTCACTAGAGTGCGATTGCAACACCTCTGTCGCGGAACCTGTGAAGTCGCCGAGAGGACGTCCCTCGGCCAACATGAGAGAGAGGCTTTTTCTGCTGCGGGCTGTCGACAAGAGCGCAGTGTCAGCTAGCGTGTGTGGCACGTGCAGCTGCTGCTCGCGGCAATACACTCCAAGGGTCGTTGGCTGTCATGTTCTTTTACTTGAAGGATTCTGTGTTTCTAAGTGCTACAGAGTGCCGTTTTCGTGAAAGATGCTTGCAAAAGTGCGTTTACTCCAATTCGCGACAGCGAGAGTGATCGCCCGGTTAAAAGGTTCAGGATGTTGCCGCCACTCGCTCTTCCCGAACTTGGCTAATACCACGGTCACACTGACAAAATTATTGTCACATTAAGGGAGTCGACTTACGTCCCACGAATGTCACTCTGTGGCACGCTGCTGCACAACAAAGAGAAGTGTAATTTGAAAATCATGGTAAAGGTGGTGGGTAATCCAGTGGCACAACGAATATTTGCTATTTTTTATTCCTAAGTAATAATGTGCCACAACAATAGTCACCCCTGCAACAAACATTATATAAAAAAGCGGCGGCTGCGACCAATGCACGGAGTGTGTTCGACATTCACCTAGTAATAGTGGTTGTAAAGAGTATGAAGAGCAGAGTAGCTTTTTGTCGTATGGCATGCTTTAATGCAGCAGATTGTTCCTGATAAGAAAAATAATTTTTCCAGCAATGTGAACTAGACCTCGGATAATACCTTATCTATTCTCGAGCCACTTATACCGAATATAGACACTCCGTCGCAGCGAATGTGCAGTTTGGCGAACGCACTCTCCGGCAAGTGCAGTTTGCAGTGAGTGTCACTAAAAGTTCCCGCGTGACAGCGTGAATAACCGCAAATCGAAGTGCGCTCCCTCAAAGTGCACTTAAGTTGGCTCCTCTGGCAGTGCTGAGACTCCACCCCAACCCGCTTCACTAGTTAACGTCCTTTCGGAGATGATTACTGTTGGCAGCACACTGGTACAACAACTGAGGTGAACTGTTCTTGGCCTAGCGTATTAGACATTGAAAGTAAAAGTTTGCGTGGAAAAAGGCGCGCTCACACGTAAGGGTACGGAGATGAACGGTTGTCCCCGTATTCTGACATGTAGGAGGAGCGCATTCAATCGTGCTCCTCCGTGTCGTCTGTGTCCTTGCGTAATTTGTGCGCGATCATTCTGTCCATCGTAGTGGTAACCACCTTACCCAGCAGCACTTTTTATCGAACGCTATTGTATATTATATTACTTGCAAGTAATCTTTAGAGAATGTTCACACACGATCATTGAAGCTGTACCTAACTTATAGCGTACTGAACCTCATTTGAAATAGCGACGTTTCAAAGGAAGCTTGGGGGGGGGGGGGGGGGTACCGTTGGTCTCTTCGTCTATTGGCGCTAGGAGGAAGTTGCTAGAGCTCTTTAAATATGCCAGCATCCAAGAGTTTTGCAGCGCGTATGCTGCGCATACCTTCATGAAGTGATGTGGACACACAGCGCGAACAACCAATCTGCTTTGATGGTAGCCGTTTTGTGATTACATCTGCACACGATTGTGGAAAACCAGCTATCACTTTGCTCCCACAGCGTGGGTAGACACAAGGAGCAAGATTATACAGCAAATATTTTTAAAGAGACGAACTTGCCCAGGCTGACTACGACGTAATTCGTGTGCAGACATGACCAGCGCCTGCCTCTGACAGCTGCCGCAGATCTTGAGAGAACGGCTGGTTGAGCGAGTAGGTCATTCATGTTACCTTGAAACACGATCTCTCAACTAAAGAAAGACTCTGCGAAGACACGACGAAGCACGTACTACGCACTGAGGGCTTATTCGGATGATTTATCTTAAGTACAAAGTGTTTTGTATTCTTTCTTGCATATAAACAGTGTTCAAAGGTCCACATACGAATTACCAAGCATGTAGTTTATCTTTAGAAAACTTTTTAGAAAAATAAGTTTGAATATATATGTAAGACAAATACATGACAGCATGTGAAATCAAGCAACTATCTCATAACTAATTTAGTGAAGAAGATGAATGCTACTCGAGGAGGCAGCGGGTACTTGCCAGGAGAAGCAGGCGCCGCGAATGTGCTTAGGGCTACCTAAATTTGTAGCGAATAACGTTTTATATATAGAAGCTAAAATTCCCTCACTCCGCACCAGATTCAGAATATTGACTGTACAAGCGTACTTAAGGGCATTTGAATTTCTTTTGAGGCGTAAAGAAATAGTTGTCATTGCGCAACCTGGTTTATTTTTTTATTGTCATTGGGCTAGATTTCACACACCTCAAGTAAAGTTTGTACAGTCTCTTCTCGATTCACTGTCCACGCAAGTTAGCAAATTGCGGAGGTCCTGCCGATTTGTAGCTTGACAAGTTCTCTCCAAATATACTTTGATGACATTTTATCTAATAGTGCTAAATACCTGCCGAGTAATTTCTTAAGAGCTACTTTACAGAACCACCGGCTAGGAATGCAAGCACATGTCATCATTGCGACGGACGCTTCACAGTAAGGCGAAAAGAGCGGCATCGGTATATTTTGCCCTCTTCTAGACTGGTTCTTTTCCCTCCGAATTCCAGATTTCACACCTATCTTTATTGAAAAATTTTTTGCCATAGTACTGGCCCTTCGAAAACTGCCAACATCAATGAATTCCACCGTAATAATAACAGACCCCTTGTTGGTCTGCAGTGTGCTCACGTCATCCGGTGATTCGAAAGCATTAGGCGAATTCAACTCCCTAGTACCAAATTACTTAACCCAAGTGCAATTAGTGTGGGTGCCGGGGAATAGAGTCATAACTCTAAATGAAACAGCTGATGCACTAGCGAAAGCGGCGTTATATGGACCAGCTATCAATATTACCCCGACAACACCCTTTATAGTGGCTTCTAAATTTTGAAGACAAACGATGATGCGAGAATTCTCTACACCATCTCTAAAAAATCTCTGGATTACCACTATCTAATGACACCCTGGAAAACTTCCTCATGTCATAGCCGATGCCAGGAAGTTTTAATCCCTCGATTACGCTGTCATCTTCCTCCATTAAATTTTTATTTGTTTAGAACAGGCTTGACTTCCTCCCCACTTTGTTCTTTTTGTGCAGAAGAGGAAACTGTGGAGAACTTTTCATCTCTTGTAGAAAGTTTTCAACATTAAGAAAGGTATCACTAGAAATAGCATTACGAATCCTTGGCTTAGCTTTGACAACGTCAAATTTACTATCCCTTGGTGCACACATCCTGGGGCACAGCAACGGGAAAGTGTGCGTGGCCGTGCAAGATTTCATTTCACAGTCTAAGAAATTTGCTTATTAACCTCAATACCAAAAGGTTCTCAGTTAACCCATGTAGGCCATATGAGATTTTCTTTGATATTGCTACAATACTGAGGAAACGGGTGGAAGAAGAGAAGAATGAGGTGGGCAAGAGCGGTGATCTACCAGATCCCTGGACTCTCGCATTCATCATCTCTCGTAAATGAAGGCATCTCACCGTAACGAGATTGGTAGAGGTGCGGGGTATCCGGCGGCAGCGGGATTCAAACCCACGACCTCCCGCCGCCGAGGCGGATACTCTACCACGAGGCCACGGCTGCGGTAAACAAGTCGCTATCATCAGAAAAACGTCAAGCTTTGGTCGAAGTCCTTGCGAAGCACGCT